CCCACCTGAAAAGAAATCTGTTTCAAATGCAAAACACAAGCAGAGGAGAGAAGTTTCAGTTTCAGTTCTACTTTCATAGCACCAAGCAGCTTTAGTACAGAACAGTTGAGCTAAGCCACGCCCAGGCTCCTTGCTGTCTCCTTGCTCACACAGCAAATACTGCTTCAGTTTCCAAACAGCCCTCAACACTCTCACACACTGACAGGACGCTAGCCAGATGAATACCGATGGATGCTGGTAGGCAGAGGCAGACAATTTTTTCCCCTTATTTTCCTCCCCAAAAACTAAGCCTGACCACATAGTTTGGTATCAAAGCATGGGTATCGAGTTAGTATACAATAATATAAAGTGTGATGCATGTATACAATACCCATGCAGCAGAAGCCAGAATCAGAACTCAGAATCCAAAAGTCATAATCACAGAAGCAAAGCTAAACCATGCTCAGGCTGTCTGACAGGGCTCACAAAAGATCCTGCTTCTTAGTCACCAAACAGTCCCCATTGGCTGACTTGTTGCCGTGTCTATTTCAGTCATGAATCCTTATACACTGACAAAAATAAGATCAGGAAATACTAAGAAGTTGACTTGCAATCTCAGAGACCTTCTCCTGGGAAGGTGTCCACGAGTAGAATTTCATCCTGGTCACTCTTTTAATTTACGTTTTCTTTACTAGGGATCTATTTTCAGCAATCCTAATCAGTATTAGGGAGATTCTGAATGGCCAAAGAAACTGTAGGGTATGAAATGTTGAATAGTCTATATGGGATGATGTCTTTTGGCCTGAACTTTTTTTTTTAAATCTTCTAGGAACTCTTCAGATTGAGGCAAGAAAAATTAGCCATCAACCCATCCCAAGGAATCACAAAGACCATCATCACAAAAAAGTAATGCTATTGCGAGCAAGTGGGGTTTTTTTTCCCTGTTTCTGAAAAGGTGTATTTATTTTATGGGTACCAATGTTTCTGCCCCGATCAGCACCGCCAAATGTCAGCAGGCTTAAAAAGAAATACAAACCAACACTAGGCCATAACAAAACAGCAAAAGTTAAAACTTATTGTACAAAAATACACTTGCCGAGAAAAAGTATACAGAATGTCTTTTTATGTTTTGGAATGTAATTAAAAACCACAGTAATCCCCTCTGGCAAGGTTTAATTTAGCTAAGACTCATAATTACGTTTCATAGGAAAGGTTGAAATAGAAAAGGTTTCACCGCTTTTGTCACAATTAACATTAAAATTGGTCTCCCAATCCAGCTGGAGAAAATCAAAATTATAAAAGGAAAGACAAAAAAAAAAATACATCAAAAGGGAAACAAATTAACAGTGCAGGAATGTTTACGCCATTTGTACCCTCCAATTTCTTCTACTGTAAATGTAGATAAATTAAAGTATATTTCATCAGATAACTCAACTGGAATAGTTGGATGTTTTAAAAATAGGATGATGTGGAATCCTTGTATAAACTCTCTCTCTCTCTCTCTCTCTCTCTCTCTCTCTCTGTGTGTGTGTGTGTGTGTGTGTTTGATTCATTGACTAGTCGCTATAGTTTTCTTGGCTGAGAAAGAATCACTGGCTGAAAGTCACCCAGGCTTTGTCCTTAAGGTGGGATTAGAACTCACAGTCTTACCAGTTTCTAGCCTGATGCCTAAACCACTAACTCTAGCTGGCTTTCAGTCTAGTTGTGGCAATTGTTGCAATTTAGAACAGATTATAATCCTGTCCTGCTTTGAAGAATGGGAATAGAATAGAATGGAATGGGAATAAAAAAATAGAATAGAAAATAAAAAAATAGAATAGAATAATGAATAGAATAGAACAAAATAATAGTAGAATAATGAATAGAATAGATTAGATTAGATTAGGAAGGGACCTTGGAGGTCTTCTAGTCCAGCCCCGTGCTCAAGCAGGAGAACCTATACTATTTCAGATAAGTGAGTGTCTAGTCTCTTCTCAAAAACCTCCAATGATGGAGCGCTCACGATTTCTGGTGGCAAGCTGTTCCACTGGTTAATTGTCCTCATTTTTAGGAAGTTTCTCCTTAATTCAGGTTGCTTCTCTCCTTGGTTAGTTTCCAACCATTGTTTCTTGTCCTGCCCTCTGGTGCTTTGGAGAATAATTTGACCCGCTCTTCTTTGTGGCAGCCCCTCAAATACTGGAATACTGCTGTCGTGTCACCCTAGACTTTCTTTTCTCTAGACTGGCCAAACCCAATTCCTGCAGCTGTTCTTCATATGTTTTATCTCCAGGTCTTTGATCATCTTAGTTTTGTTCTTACAATGCCAGGTCTGAGGTCTACTTGAAACTCTAGAAAAAGTGCAGAGAAGAGCAACCAGGATGATTAGGGGACTGGGGGCTAAAACATACGATGAACGGTTGCAGGAACTGGGCATAGCTAGTCTGGGGAAGAGAAGGACCAGGGGAGACAGGATAGCAGTCTTCCAATATTTCAGGGGCTGCCACAGAGGGGGTGTGTGTCAAGCTATGTCCCAAAGCACCTGAAGGCCAAACAAGGAATAATGGATGGAAACTGAACAAGGAGAGATTCAACCTGGAAATAAGGAGAAACTTTCTGACAGTGAGAACAATCAACCCATGGAACAGAAGCTGCCTTCGGAAATTGTGGGAGCTTCATCACTGGAGGCTTTCAAGAAGAGATTAGAAATTAAACAATAGAATAATAATGAGATAATATGATATGGAATGTTGATTAGAATACAATATGAATGTAAAGTTAGGAAAAAAGGATTATAGATATTGTGCACATGATATATAGAAGATGGTTTTATTGTTATGTTGTATGTCATAAAAATACTTTTTCAAAAAAAAAAAAAAAAGACTGGACTGCCATCTGTCAGAAATGGTGTAGGGTCTTCTGCTTGGGCAGGGAGTTGGGCTAGATGACCTACAAGGTCCCTTCCAACTCTTATTAATCATTGCTGACATGTTGCTTCTTGCCGCTTTTCTCCCCCAGATACAGGAATCATTATCCCATCCTCGGCCTCCTGTCGGATGACTACAAAACCACGTCATCCGCCCTTGGGGAAACCCAGACGATTGTGATTGAAAAATCTGGAGACTCCTGGAAGCAGGTAACCTTCCCTGGCAGAAGGTCTCCCACGTCCCATTAAAGGTGCCAGGAGCTTCAGGATCTGAGCCTTAGGATTTGAGAAGAGGGGAGGTTCGTGGGAGGACAGTAACCAAATTCAAACTGCAGGTAATCTCTGACTTAACGACCGTTCGTTTAGAAACCACTTGGAATGGCAACGGTACTGAAAAAAGGCATTTCGGACTGGTCCTCACAGATATGACTGTCGCAGCATCCTCCTCCAGGATTGTATGATAAAAATTCAGGTGCTTGGCAACCGGCACAACATGGCTGTGAATGGCAGCAGCACTTAGACTCATATACCGCTTCACAGTGCCTTACATCCCTTTCTAAGCGGTTTACAGAGTCAGCATGTTGCCCCCCAACAATCTGGGTCCTCATTTTACCCACCTCGGAAGGAGGGAAAGCTGAGTCAACCTTGAGCCTGGTTGGATTCGATCTGCCAAATTGCAGGCAGCCGGCAGTCAGCAGTACTGCGCTCTAACCACTGAGCCCCACTGAGGCTCAACACTGGAAGTTTTTAAAAAGATCTTGGATAACTATTTATCTGAAGTGGTATAGGGTTTCCTGCTTAGGCAGAGGGTTGGACTAGAAGACCTCCAAGGTCCCTTCCAACTCTTCTCCTCTTCTCTCCTCTCCTCTTCTCTTCTCTTCTCTTCTCTTCTCTTCTCTTCTCTTCTCTTCTCTTCTCTTCTCTTCTCTTCTCTTCCATTCCCATTCCCATTCCCTTCCCTTCCCTTCCATTCCATTATTTATTCCTGTTCTGTTCTGTTCTGTTCTGCTTTGTTCTTTTCTGTCCTGCCCTGCAATGGAGCAAAACTTACTTAAGAGCTGTCTTGCTTAGCAGTGGAAATTGTGTGCTCAATCGTAAGTCAAGGACTACCTTTATCTGTGCAGAAACGATACTAAACGCTTGGTTCTTGAACTCACTACCACCTAATGGCAATGGCGGAATAGCATTATTACAGGTTAGTTTAGGAAACCTTAAAATTTTTACAAATTGCTATTTGGCCTTGAAAGTCAACTCCTTAGATTAGCTGGACAAAACCCCAAAAGTTCGGGATAAATAATAATTTATTAGTAATTGATAGATGTCCTAGCAAAGAGGTGGTGATGAATAACATGACCTATTTTTTTTCCCTCCCAACAGGAATCATTTACTTCTGATTAAAAAGCTGCTGGCTTCTTTCAAGAATGAGCAGATCTGCTGGACAAGTTGTGGCTGATCAGGAGATTCTGCATCAAAATGAATACCGTTGCGTTATTGTTTTCGCTTGCCCATTGCCTTCATGTAATGCTTAAAAAGTCTGAGATAATTCTGGATCAGCCAGGGTTGGAAGGAGTTGTGAAAGCACACGCTACCAAATGCAGCCAATGAACAAGTTCAAAGGCTGCAACAGTGGATTGCTACTTTCAAACTTCATTGGTCAACTGAAGCAATGTACGGATGTATTGGGATCAGGATAGGATGTGGGCTGGAGAATTCAGAAGCCACGTGTATGCTAGCCTCTGTCTTCTCCCTTTTTACTCCAAAGATCTGAGAAACTATATCTGATACTTGCCTGATGCTTCAGTTTGCAGAGATCAATAATTTTTGAATAAATGTTGTTTTTTTTCTTTATTGGAAATGTTCAGTCTATTACCAATATTATCTAGGAATCTGTAAAGATTCTCAGCCATCCAGGTCATGGTTGTCCCAGAGGGTTTTTTTCAGGAGGCAACTGGACTTTCTTGTTTTTTCTTTGAAGACATTTCGCTTCTCATCCAAGAAGCTTCTTCAGCTCTGGCTAAATGGTGGGGAATGGAAGGATTTATACTCCTTGAAGCCTGCTGGTCATTTGCATCTACAGGAACCATTTGCACTACTCAGGTGACTCTGAGGACACAGATGAACCTCCAAGTGCTTCAAGGACCTTGTAAAAGGATGCAAATGAACAGCTGTCTGCAAGGAATATAAATCCTTCCATTACCCACCATCCAATCAGAGCTGAAGAAGCTTCTTGGATGAGAAGCGAAACTTCTTCAAAGAAAAAACAAGAAAGTCCCGTTGCCTCCTGAAAAAAAAAACACCCTTGGGGATTATCTAGGAATGTTAAGATTGCTTTCAACACAGTCTATTAATGAAAGCAGTCAAGAGTTATTTGAACAAGTATACTTTTCTTTAATATGTGTTTTCTCACTAGCAGTTTTCTATCCTTTTGGAAATCAGACGGAGTTAGTAACTTTGGTTAAAGTACCTAATTGGTAGCGTTTGGGTGTAGGGTTGGTTTTTGATATTGCTTTAGTTACCCTGTGGTGTATTGGGTCAAATCCTGAAAAAATAAATTTGGACTGAATACGGTAAATTTTCGTTCTGCGCTTTGATTTGTTGCATGAAGCTAAAACCTTAAGATGTGGAGAAGGAGGACTGGAAGGAGAATTGATGAGAAAGGAATTTTACTATTGCAGTTGGTTAAGATTGGTGTGTTGTTCAGAGAAAATTAGATAACGATTATCTAATTTTCAGCCCGACGTTGAAAACTGGCTTTGAGATTGGAAAGTCGTGCTTGTATGAATGTAGAGATGGATATGGTGATGGATTCACACCGTCACAAGCAAGGTGGGTTGGAGTTGTACTGCACTGCCTTACATCTAGTGCTGGAGAAGATGCACCTCCCAACTCAGGAAGACAAGCATGAGAGATGGAGAGTAAGATGACACATTTGCAGATGTGTCTTAGATTCTGCTGTGCATAGATCAACCAAGCTCAGAGAGCACCAAAGACTCCTCAGGGCCAACTAACTTTATAAACGAAAATAGCGTAGGTGGGTCATAGAAAGATGTGTAAGAACCTGTCTCAAAATTGGCCTTCAGATTTGGGGCTGAAGTGCTTGCAGTGACTGGTTTACAAAAGGGAGCATCCTATGCTGTTATGGCGCATTGATGGTGCCACTAATATTGAGGTAAAGGTTTAACCTTGCTTCCAGATTGACAGTCACGGGGCTACCAGGCCCAGAATGCAGAATCTCTGTAGAATAGTAGATGGCAGGGAAAAAGAAAAATATTCTTTATCTCCATTTTTGTTGCACAGATCTATGAAGCCTGGTTAAACCCTAACGATGGAAATAAATAAACTCCTGGCTTTTATAAGCTATGTTAGACTTTTAGACAGGGGAACTGGTAAATAGCTCTGAGGCTGTGTCCTTTATACTGTAGTCTCTCAAGGCAAAAAGATTTCCCAGAAAGATACACACACAGATCTGAAATACAAAACAATAACAATAAACTTCATAATAATGATGAACACGGATAATCTAAACCTTCAACCCACCGTTCGAAGGCTGCAGCTCTGTGCCAACTTCCCTTGAAGTAATTCCGACTGAGATTTAAATTTCAAGTCAGGTCAAGCTCCTACTTGGAAGTTGCATTTTTAAAAATAGCTTTGAAAAATGGGAAAATAAATGCTGAGCCTTGGTTAACGTTGTGATTTCAAAGGAACTGAAATATGGAGAATGTGGTTCAGTTATTATTCACAATTCTAAACAGTGATTGAATGTCTTTACTAAGGATGGATTTTAGAGGCATGACTCAGAGCTCTGAATGCCTGGAGTAGCTCTGGATAACGAGGTGGCTGGCATACAAATTTAATAAATAAAATAAATCAGCTCCCATGTGGACCTTTTATTCTTTGGCAGCTAAATCTATTTAAGCAGCAGCTCAAAATGGTGACATATGGCATCTCTCTCTCTCTCCGTCCCTCTGTCCGTCCGTCTATCTTGTGTAGCCATAACTGATGTAGGGGCCATTTAAAGAGAAAAGCATAGACAAGCCTCGATATAACAGAAAACCCTTTTATTTGATAGTACTTGGAATTTATCATATTTTCTGTCTTGCCAATCACATCTCTCTCTGGCTCCCTTGATCTATAGTATGGCTGCAACTTGAACGGTCAGCCAAACTAATACAGGTAATCCTCGGCTTAATGACCACAACTGACTCCCAAATTTCTGTTGCTAAGGGAATCACTGCAGTTGTCAAATTAGTAACATGGTTGTGAAGTGAATCTGGCTTCTCTTGTCAGGTCACAAAAGGGGATCAGATGATGACCCCATCATAAATATGAGTCAGTTTGCCAAATGTTTGGATTTTGATCACCTGACCCGAGCCTGTTCCAAAATGATTCCAGGAGATTTAGAGTAAAAAAAAAAAAAGAGCAATTCGAGGGCCTATTCTAGTTTTCTCCAGCCAAGCTGAGGATGATGGGGTTGTCTCATCCAGAAGAGAGGGCACCTGACTGCAGTTGGGTAATTTAGAATAAGTCTCTGCAATCCAGGTGCGTCTTCCAGAGATGCTGGACCACACTTCCCATCATCCAATTGGCAGAGAGACCATAATGTGAGAAATGTTGCTGGTCCAATGGGAAAATTCCAGGTAGGAAAACAGACTGTGCCTTTAAAGTTCTGAGGATACTGCAGTGATCGTAAGTGTGAAAAGTGGTCGTATTTGGTTGTTCTGAACATAAATCATTTGCTCAATATCTCACAGGAGGAAAATGTTAGTATTTAAAATGTTTTAAAATTAAGGGCTGTTTTGCAACTATAAAATGCCAGTGGGTTTTCTTGTAAAGGTTTATTTTGTGGCTATGGTAATGTTTATCCACTTTTGTTCCACCCCAGGTGAAGGTATTTTTGGAATTGACATGGACAAACTTGAATAAATCTGCGATAATATACAAGAATACAACTGACTCTCTTGATTAAATTAAAAAAAAACATTTCTAAAGTTTGGCAGTTTAGCTCTCATGTTTCTTCAGGCTGTCGCTACGTAAATAAAACTGGACATTAACTCTTCATCTTAGGCACACAACACATGTCCTTGTAGAATTGGTGGCCTTGTAAATTTCCAAAATAAGCATATGAACTAGACTAGCCTTTCTTTACAAAAATAAGTGCAAACCCGATGAGCCTCCTTTGACATTTAAAACAATTGAATGACGTGCGAGTAATTTTAGTAGAGGCGTGATGTCAAGTTCTCATCAACTTTAAACTTTTGGCTGTTGTTAAATATTTTAATTGGAGCTACACAACCTGGCACTTATCAATTTTGATTGCCCCTTTTTCTTCCACTATCTAGCAATCACCTGAAAGTCCACATTTCGTAGCTGAGCTATACAAATCACAAGAGCATAAGTTATATTATACAAATCACAAGAGCATAAGTTATATATTTCGGGCAAATGTATATGACATGCTGCATGATTCTTGGTAATGCATCCTTCTGAACTAACAGCAGTTTAATAAACCAGATTTACTTTCAAGATGGTCTTTCCTCAGTGTTTATGTGTGTGGGGGAGGTTTGTGTGTGTGCATAATTAAACATGGGAGGGGAAAATCAAGCCATTCAGGAATTTCAAGACTATGAAGAGTGCTGGAAAAAACATAAATTTAAGTGACAATTTAAACTTGAACTGCCCAATGGGCTTAAATAAAATGTCCTTTTAAAATGTGACAAAATCAATGTGTTTCCCAATTGTGTACTTAATCTGCCGGATAGACCTCATAATTAGAATAGTTGGCGTTCTGTATTCTCACTCTCCTCTCCGGCGTCAGCACACACACAAAAAAAATCACACAAGATTTAATGCTACTATCTCACGTGATCAAACCTGGAGGATCAATCAGGAAGCTGTGAGTTCGATCCTAGGTAGGGACAGGTATCTTTCTCTGGGCACAGTGACTAATTATCTGCTGCTAACTCCGCATTGCTGACAGGAAAGGCATCCGGCCAGTAAACACTCAGCTCCATTCAGCTGCCCTGACTCCAGCCTGATGTAAGGGATTATGGGGTAATTAAGACAAAAATAAATAAATCACATGATCAAACTTGTTAAGATGCAACCATGGGATGTACAGTACTTCTCTTAACAGAGAAATCCTAAAAGAGAGAGATTGAAAAATGGTCTTTATTATTGTTAGTCCTCGACTTACTTAGCGACCGTTCAAAGTTACAACAGCACAGAAAAAAGTGATTTTCACACAACTGTTACAACATCCCCATGATCAAAATTCAGATGTTTGGCAACTGATTCACATTTATGACGGTTGCAGTGTCCCGGGGGTCATGTGATCTTTTGCAACCTGACAAGCTAAAGTCAAAAGGGAAGGCAGATTCGCTGAATATCTGTGTTATTAACTTCACAACTGCAATGATTCACTTAACAGTGGCAAGAAAAGTTACAAAACGGGGACCAAACTCAATGTTCCATTGAACACCATGAATTTTGGGCTCAATTGTGGTATTAAGTCTACCTGTATAGCAACAAACTGATTTTTTCTACTAGACCAATTGTACTGTGTTTTTTTAGCCATTTTAAAATAAATAATCACTGTTGTAACTTTTCTAATTACTGCAGATGTAAGAAATAATTGTTTCATGACACTTGAAACTAAATGAACTTTATGCACTGGGAAGAACCTTGAAGACAGGTTTTTCTTGTACTTTTGTGTAATAATAATCACAGTAAGCAAGAAATTTAAGTACATAAATTAGGAGTGCATATCACCTGATTGGCAGCAGAAAGGAATATAAAGGTTCTTGAGTTTGGAGTGCAAGAGATGCATTTTATTGTATGCTCATTACAATGAGTAACACATTTTAAAATAATAATCCCACATAACAGTGACAATCTTATTTTACAGCGTGTACATCATTTTTACAGCCACATAAAACACAAGTAGTTTCCTATGGTTTCCCAAAGTTAACTTTCCGAAGGTTGGAAATATATATATAAAAAAATTATTCTCAAGGAACTGATTCTCATCTGGTGCAAAAACAAAGTATGAACATTATCTGAAACACAAAACCACAATATAGTAGCATGAATGAAGTAAAGTTACAATTTTATCATGTGAACAGCTGTGTGCAAACATGAAGCAACTTAAAAACGGGGTTTTTTTTTAAAAAAGGACACGTATGTATAACATTTATGAAGGTTTTTTTTAAAATTATTAAATAGCCCTAGACCAGCTTGTTATATTAAGCGGCATTTTTGCAGCATGCTAACACAAAGCATTGTTTAAAAGGGATGCGTATTTCAAATGTATACACTGTAAACTGAAAATCCATGTCTGCTCTCAAGTGGCAGCTTACTGTTCGGGTTAAATACTGCATACATAACTTCCATACAGATTGAGAATGCAAGTTTATAGCATGGTATATGTTTCGTAATGAATTATTTTAAAAGGTGCAATTTTCGTTTCTATATTGATTTTTTAAAAAAATTAATAGCAAGCCAGGGCCATGGATCCTGACTCGCCAGAAACACTTCTTTTGAAAGTTTCTCTAGGATTTTCCAACGGCTGGCGTT